TTACAAACATCTTGTGGGTCAAACAGATTCTACAAAAAACAATCTGATGGTGATTATGGTGTCGGTCCTGGTTTTATAAAATGTATATAATATAATATAGTGTATATCATATTATAATATGTAGTGATTGTGAAAGGTAAAAAACAACAACAGAAAATGAAAAAAAAAAACAGCTTTCTTGTTGCCACATCAACGTGAAACGGGAAAAACCGGGCCTTCAGTATACACTGTTGGGAAAATATTTGTCTTTCTGCAGCAGAAGCCAGAACACTAGCTGGCTGATTGTGTCTTCAGCTACCCTTAAAGCGTGACATATGTAAAACAATATAGTGTACATTCAAAAGCAGTTCATGCAGTGGAACCAGATGTGAGTATAGCAGGACAACGAGCCCTCGATCCAACCACAGCTTTAGTTAGAGATACGACTGCAGACCCTTCCAGTGTTTTTTTTCTCCTATCTTCTGCTTTTCTCTCGCTGTTCACATCACCGTCCATGTGGGACATGAAATCCACAAGCAGCCATACAATGAGGCTGGTGGTAAACCTGTAATATACATTAAGACACTGACTGACTCACCATAAGAAACACCGTCACTCTTCAGCATTACTCTCTCAAAAATGTGTTCCATTTTCTAACCTAGACGGGCAGTCTTTACAGTTGTCATACATCAGAAGTGTAAGGGGCCGTGCAGTGTTGGATGTAAAAGCTGTGTAACTGATAAAAAGGGGGAAGCAGTGTGATGTGAGGAGCAGCCTGGAACAATAACTGTGGCAGCTGACCCATTAACACACGGCCGCCACACCAGGGCCAGAAGCTTTTTTAAGAGCCGCAGTCATTAGTGGGACTATATACGAGGTCTTGCAGGGATTAGGCTGCATTCCAGGGCTGCAGGAGATGACTGACTCTGAACCCGTTGAAAAGGTAAATGACAAGAACTGGCTATTTTTCATATTCCTCCTTCTCCTGTGAATAAAAATATTAAAATCAGCTTGTTTGCTGTCCTACCCCTGTACACAGATGACAAGATTAATATCAGCTTTTGTGGGTTCATTATGAAGAACCAAAGGCCTCCAGTGGAAAGTACATTTACTCAAGTATTCACTTTGGTGCTTATGCTTGAGCAGATACATTTTGTGATACTTGAGTTTGTCACTATATTTCATGAAGAAATCATCTTCACTACATTGGTGTAAAAGCAACCGTGTAGCGCTTTGTGAAAATTATCTCTACGTTGACAAGAAAGTGTGTAGCAAGTGGCTATTGGGTCACATTTTTCTCAAATTCCCCTAATTTAAACTCATTTACGAGACTGGGAAAAGGACTGTATTCAGGTATAATGTTAAGGCTGAATATTTCCATTATGCCTTACTTTAAACGTAGCATTTCAGAGGGAAATAATGTGATCCACTACATGATTTAACAGCTAACTTCTAGTTAGCTTGTTGCTACAACCCGCCTTATTTAAACCAACATTAATATGCTGTTTGCATGGCACAGCATTAGCCATAAATATTCTGAACATAAAATAATAAAAAGTTTTATTTTGCATAACTTTCCTGTTACTTTTGTTACTGTTTATTTATTTGCTTGGCTGCTAACCTTTTATTTATTTATTTATTTTTATATCAATTAGACTTTGCTTGGATTTATCTGAGGTTACTTCCATTTATAACTTTGTGTAAACAGTTATTTTTCAAATTTTTTCACTTCTGCTGCCAGTCTAAATAAAAAAGTAAAATTTTAAAAAGTGTTCAATAAAAACTATAAAAACTGATACTACATTTTTTGAATTTTTTTTTGAAGTGCAAAGTATTATTTTTGTTTCATAAAACAATTCTCATGTGTTCATATGTACAATGAAAGAGTTGTGGGTGCTGGAATTTCTCCTCCTGCCTTGAAGCAATCCCTCCGTGACACAGTTTCAGAGTAAGAGATGAGGACAACATCCAACCCTCATTCTCTGCAAAGTACAGAGTTCAGCCAAAGTTAATATAAAGTTTAGCAATACGTCAAATCACCTTGATATCTTCTGAAGCTACATTCTTTCGAGACATTATTTATGCTACTGTCTCTCTGCCGCGGCTCAGCAAGGAAACACTGTCTATGGGGAATTTTTTTTTTTTTGCTGAAAAGATCACCGCTGAAAACACTCACTGGGTTCGGCTAACTTTGGCCTGTTGAAGCCTCAAATTAGTCTCAGCTGAATGCATCTTTTCACGGGACAAGGACAGAGGGGTTTGTCCCCCACCTCTTACACTGAAGTATAATAAGAAGAGATTTCTTTAATGCATGTATGCACAGAAAAAACGAATACCTGCAACTTTTTCAGAGCAAACATACGACATGAAGGAATCTGAACAAGCAGATTTCTGTTTCTTTACCATCTTAAAGGGAAAAAAGACATTTTACAAAGGTTTGACAGTTGCAATTGTGAGATTGTTTTTATTCTCATAAAGCAATCAATGTAGTGTATATATAAGATTTTTTTTCTATAAATATAAAGGTTCTCTTCATAGCAAATGCAAAGGACATTACTTCAAAGCCGTGACTATTGTTGAGCCGTCAACACAATAAAAGGATTATTATGAATCGGAAGCACCGTGTGGAAGAGCATTTGACAAGAACACACAGTCGTGAAATGTGTGTGTGAGCTGAGCCGCACTGACAGCAGCAGCTCTGCATTTCAACATAAGGCTGCCTTTCTCCTGCGGTGGAAGACATGCAAGCTGCCGGCTGCTCTTCAGTCCCACAGTGCAGCTATGTTCACTCGGATCCAATTACTGCGCAGATAAACCCGAGTGCCCTCCCAACAGCAACTGGCATAATTAACCTCCAGGTAAAGAAGGTGAAAAAAATGGTTACAAATATTTATGATATGTATGTGCATAACAAACCTCTCTCATCATCAACTGTAGATACATGTACAGCGCCATACTTTGGTTGGGACACCCTTACGCTTTAGGACAATTTAAAGGTTCCACATATTGAAAGATATGATATTTAAACACTTGTATCCAAATTTCAATCCCTTGTATTTTTTGTGTTTTTAAGGTTTTTTTTTTTGATAACCAGAATCAAACAATATGCTGTTCAGTATTTAAGAATGTGACCTCACCTCAAAGTCTCTCTTGCGCACCTTTAGATAAAAGGGAGTACGATGATTTATTTTCTTTTGAAACCTGAACTACCTTGAACCCAAAGCCGTCGATAAGCCTTGCATTCCACAATATTTTCATGTTTTTCCGACACTGAAACACTCATAATTCTACTGAGACTAGTTCTTAGCTTTTGCTGCTAATTGCAACCACAATCATCCTGTATTCAGAACCAAAGCATAGGATCTGAGCAGCACTAAATATCAATGTTTGATTGTACATTTTTCATGGACACACTATTTATTTTACATAAGTTGTTCCATTATCAATTAATCTGCAGATTATTTTCTCAATTATTACTGATTCATATTTTTCCCCCATATGAGTCCATCAGAATTCCCCACAGAACATTTGTTGGTCATTTCAAGTTTATCTATCAAATGACCAACAAAGTATCAAACCCTCACGTTTGCAGATTTTGTCATTTTTTGCTAAAAAAAAAAAACAACAAAAAAACAAAAACAAGAAACCTAACAACAACCAAAAACGTAATTCACATCAACATTAAAGGATCTGAATAATTTTCCTTCAAATGTCTGACTGATTACTCGACAGTGGTCAGGCTCAGGCTTACTGCATATAGTTATCCGCTGAAAAAATGCCTTAAATACAAGAAAATCTGTTCTTCTAATTAATTTGGTATAAAGTAGAGCATGTAAGAAGATTTTTAAGATTATTGTGTGGAAAAATACATTATAAAGCCTCAGAGGGTGCCCAATGATTTTATACAGCGCTGTATGCATAAAATGGTTTACATTTAAAATGTGCTTCGACACGCACAGAGGCCTTCTGCTGGACTTGCAGCTTCGCAGCCTGTTGTTTTAACGAACTGGCATTTTATCAATTACAGACCACGTTAATGCAGCTTTGAATCTCTGTTGTAAAGGAACATACTGGTATTTCTGCATGTTTAGGTCCATGTAGAACACATAACTGGCATTACAGATGACCGTTTTAAAACCATGCTACTAAATACATAGTATTTAATATTTTTCATGTGAGTCTTTGCCACCAGGCAGCCCCCGGGTTGATTTCACTGCAGAGTGAACATCTTATCTGCTTTCACTTCAGTCAAAGTTGTGCTATTATTGTTGTCATAACGTAGCGAGCAGGTCTGCAAATACATCTGAATTAGCATGCAACAATAACATAACTCTAACAAGATTAAGTACAGTCATGATGCAGAATTAGAACTCAGCCTACAGACACAAACTGCAGTTCAATAAAAACAAGAGTGTTTCCAGGAATGTAGGAAAAGCAAAAAAAAAAAAAAAAACCCCTTCAGTACTGCCTGAGAGTATGGAGTACTGTAACACATATGCAAAAACACTGGCATGTTCCTTTACATTTCCATGATTACCTGTGCTTTATTTAGAAAGGAATGTTATAACTGTCGGTGCCTGAGCTACAGGCCACAACCATCTGTCACAATGACTCACATTCACAACCTGTGCACCGTCTCTTGTCCCAGACTGCTGACATGTTCCTTCAGACCAGAGCAACTGCTGCTCGACTGTACAACAGACACAAACTACAGCTGGTTAATCAGGATAAGAGGGAGCCACGAGGAAGCACTTGGGTTTCACGGGACTCTGCTTAGAATAGACCCAGCGCTCACAGGCAGTTCACTGATCAAAGACACAGTCGATGTGAAATACTCCCAGTGGTGTCCACAGTAAGTCAGGTCATATGACCCCAGTATCCTTGATGGTCAGCTGGCTCTTTGTGATGAATAAGTACAATTCCATTTAGTCCAAAGTATGAAAAAAGTGTTTTTAAAAAAGAAAAAAAAATGCTTTAAATCTTTAAATACAAATATATACTTACAAAAATCTCACAAATGTGTATGTACATTAAAAAACAGAGCAAATGTCTCCTGAAAGTCTGAGAAAAATGGAAAAAAAAAGAAAATAATAAAAGGGGATTATCATTCAGTCTGTCACAAAGCAGTCTGTGTGCGTAGTGAGGTTAAACCCCATTACACTGTGGTCTCACCCTGTTTACTGTTGGCCAGTCTTGTGTAAAACCTCCTCCAGGAGTTGAGGGTCTTTCCAGACCAGATCCAGAACCCGGAGGTAATGCCCACAATGAGCGTCATGAGATACTTTATCATGAAGACGGTGAAGTCTGGGCTCATGTTGGGGTGGTTCTGGGCAGGACAGGGAACGGCGTACGTCTTACACGTCTGGCTGATCCACGTCCTCTCCCACTGCTCTCTGAAGGCCTGCTCGTAGAAGTAGCAGGCGATGACGATGGTGGCTGGCACAGTGTAGAGCACGCTGAAGATCCCTATCCGCACCATCAGCTTCTCCAGCTTCTCCGTCTTGGTGCCATCGTGCTTCATGATGGTTCGAATTCGAAACAGGGACACAAAGCCTGCCAAGAGGAAGGAGGTGCCGATGAATAGGTAGACAAACAGTGGCGCCAAGACAAAGCCCCGCAGGGCATCCACGCTGTTGATGCCCACGAAGCAAACCCCACTCAACACGTCCCCGTCCACCTGCCCCACTGCCAGGATGGTGATGGTCTTGATGGCGGGGACGGCCCAGGCTGCCAGGTGGAAGTACTGAGAGTTGGCCTCAATGGCCTCATGGCCCCACTTCATCCCTGCTGCCAGGAACCAGGTGAGAGCCAAGATGACCCACCAGATGGAGCTGGCCATGCTGAAGAAGTAGAGCATCATGAAGAGGATGGTGCAGCCTTCCTTCTTGGTGCCCTGCACCACAGTCCTGATGTCGTTGTCAAACCTGTCATTGCACACCACCTTGTCCTCCAGTAAAAATCCAGCAATGTAGGCGATGGACACCATGGTGTAGCAGCCGGAGAGGAAGACAATGGGCCGCTCTGGGTAGCTGAAGCGCTTCATGTCCACCAAGTAGGTCAGCACCGTGAACAAGGTGGAAGCGCAGCACAACACCGACCAGATGCCGATCCATATCCTGGCGAATTTCAGCTCCTCCTCGCTGAAGTACATCATCCCGTGCGATCTCTTGGGCTCACACGGAGCGCCGCAGTTCTCCTGGCCGAGGAAGCGGTAGTTGAGGTACGGAGGCACCCGAAGCGACGCCGGGCACCTGAAGTGACCGGGGTCGGGCAGGGTGCGCTCGGTGGGGTAGGGGCTGCGGCTGTCCACCTCGGTGCGGTCCGTCATGTTCTGGCCCACACACAGCTCCCCGGCGCCGTGCACCGGGAACGTCTCGCAGGCCAGGCTGTCGGGCCACTGGAAGCCGAACTTGTTCATGAGCGCCTCGCAGCCCTGCCTTGCGCGCTCGCACAGGGAGCGACACGGGGGCAGCGCCTGCTCCAGCACCGTGCACACGGGCGCGTACATGGAGCAGAGGAAGAACTTTAAATCCGGGGAGCACTGCACTTTGACCAGCGGGTAGAACTGGTGCACCTCCAGCCCCGCGTCCTCCTGGTTGGTGTGGCCCAGCAGGTTGGGCATGATGGTTTCATTGTAAGCGATGTCCGTGCACAGCGGGATGGAAATGGGCTGGCAAAAGCCGTGCTCCGGTATAGACATTCCTCGGTCACCGCCGCCGTACTGCCCGTTTACACGAAAAATCCCCACGTTTAGGAAGAGAAGGAAAAACAACAAAGTCAAACCCGTACGAACGAGTGCGCGGTGCGCCATGGTGGCCGCTTTATCCGCTGCCGTACTTTGTGTTTGTTGCTCAACTAACTTGCGCTGCCTCAGCAGGCAGCAGCTACTTCCCTGAAGGCTCTTTGTTGGCGTTTCTTTGCCAGATAGAAGCAGCTTCTTCCAGCGGGATTCCTCTGTTCCCTCCCCGCGGCTCCTCACTGCGTCGCGCCGGTAAAACAGTGTGAAAAGAAATCCATAGTTCTTAATCTCAAACTCGGACTCCTCGGTTGAAATCTACAAAAAAAAAGCCCAAACCGTATTCCTCCAGAACGGGAGCTGCTCCAGTGCTCGGTGTGTTCAGCTCAGCGTCAGTCTGCCGTTCAAACCTGTTCTGCGCTCCCTCACTAGTCAGGCTCAGCCAAGCTGCCCGGCCTTCAGCGGGACATCCGGACAAAACTTTCAAAATTAAAGTCTACAGTGCAACGGCTTACGACTTAGAAAAAAAAATACTAGCAAGATATCTAGGTGTTTATTTAAAATAATTCGGTTTTTTATTTGTTTGGTTTTTTTTCTTTTATTTATTTATTTTTGTTTTTGTGTGTGACTTGTTTGGCTTTATTTAATTTGTGTTGTATTTGATTTTATAACAATGCTTTTATGCTGGCTTTCTTATAAGAGGAAATAAACGCTATTAACTTTTACATTTTAATCAATCGCTACATAGTGAGAATAATTCATTTGCGATAGTTGTGAGATGAAAATAAAAATGGTTCATTTACAATTTTAAATATTGAAAAAAAATAAATATATATAAGTAAAAAAAAAAAATAAAAAAAAAGCCTGCACTGAAGCACTGAATACAACAATATAAATATATTGTCTGAACCTAAATTGAAACCTTACAGAAAAAAATCACTGAAAAGATTCCTCTTATTTATTTGGAACTTTTTCCATAATCTATTATCAGCTCTGTCAGTGTCCCACTGAAGGGACAATGAGGTTCAGCTAAAACTGCATCAGCACTGACACACTTCCTGTACATACTTGTGTCACCTTGACTAACGTTACAAGTCTTGTCCTCTCTCTCTCTCTCTCTCTCTCTCTCTCTCTCTCTCTCTC